CTGGCCCTCGGACCGGGGGTATTTGTCATTCCTTTCTTATTCTCTTTCTTCGCTGGAGCTGTCAGAGGAGGAATTTAATTACAGCGATCGGATGATTAAAGGATTCAGAAATTATTGCCACATGCCAGCCAGCGCTTTCCTGCTGTTCCGCTGAGGGCCCCAGGACTGGGCCCTCTCTGCGGGGTCAGTGGCCCCAAGTTTCTATTTCCTTGAGAGGTCGGGGCTCCCTGGGGAAGTGGAACAGGAATGTGAAGGTGCCATCTCAGACCGTCTCACCTTAGAAGAGTTGGACTCTGGGTCTCCCTGAGTCCCTCCCGGCCGACCAGAGGCACCCACGAAGTCTTGAATGAGAAAAGAAAGTCCTTCCATTATTATTGTTTAAAAAAAAATTTTTTTTAACCACCACAGCAACAATAACCAACCATACTGGGCCCAATGCAGTCTTGGTTCCCAGCACGGCACGGTCCCCCGAGGTCAGCCAAGAGTATCCTTTAAGTACTGAGCCAGGAGTGGCCCCTGAGTCCAGCCAGAGAAGGAGAGGGAGAAGGAGTCTGAATTGCTCAGCTCTGTTGCTTAGCCGGCGTGGAGAAACAGCCCTCTGAGGCGTTTCATTTTTCCCTAACGCGACTCTCCTTCCCAACCCCTTTTGGTTTTTGGACCACACCCAGTGATGCTCAGGGGTTACCCCTGGCTCTGCACTCAGGAATTACTCCTGACGGTGCTCAGGGGGCCATATGGTAGCGGGGGATCAAGCCCGGGACTGCCACATGCCAGGCAAATGCCCTCCCTAGGGTGCTATCACTCCGGCCCCCACCCCACACTCTTGAGCGCAGAGTAATATGCCTGTTTGCTTGGGACCACTTGGCTGCAGGTGCCGGGGGCTGCAGGCATCAGAGAATTCTGCAGAGAGGCGACACTCACAGCCCCAGATAGGGTGCAGGGTGCCCTCCCACAGGGGGCCAGGCCCCCCAGCACCCGCAGACCCCCTTCTCTGCACAAGGCCGTGCCCCGGAAGTCGCTAGTGAGCTGGATTTTCTCTGTTTCTCGGCAGCTGGTCCTCCCTGGTGGGATGCCCCTTCTCATCAGTGTGAGTGTGGTGGCCTCTTTCCTGCTCCCCTTTGAAGCCGGAAGCCCTCCTGTTCTGGACCAGCCTCCCAGACCAGCCAGCCCCAGAGGGTCCGACGCATTTTCCCAGCTAAAGCAGTGGGCACCAGGCGGTGTGGCCGCCTGGCTTTGGAATGAGAATCTGTGAATCCATCCAAGCCGGCTTCCTTCAATGCCTCGGGAGCTGCAACTCTCTGTGCTAACACCAATCACTCAGTAGAGGGCGCTCCTGCACCGTAACAGCCAGGCCTGGGCAGCACCCCAGGCGCTGACCCCAGGATGGCATGACCACCTCCAGGCGCCCGTCCCCCCTGTCCTAAAAGGCACCACCACACAGGCGCAAGGGTGGGCGAGCCTCTCACCCTTGCCTGCAAGGCCAGGCCCTCCACCAGCGCCAGGATAGTCAGCGTCCAGCCGCCCCCGTGACTCAGCCCCTGGCCCTACTGGACTATTTCGATCACCAGGCAGTACCCTTTACGTCTGCGGCCGAGAAAGGAGCAGTTCTTTCGGCTACAGCTTCCAGATCGCTGCCAAGGTGTTGTGTTCTGCTGCCTTGAACAAACGGGCTTGTTTTTTCGAAGGGCTCTGTGTCAGCTTTGGATTTGCTTCTGGGAGAGAAATGCATGCTGGGAAGAAGGCGGCGTGCGAGGCTGCCTGGCTCGGCTTCGTGAGGGTGAGGAGGGCAGCACACTGCCACCGCCGTTGGCATCCTCCATCCAGGCATCCGTCACCCAGCGACCTCACGGCTGTGTCCCTGGCATGCGGGCAGCCCTGCAGTGTGAGCAGCTAATGTAACATGCTGCTTTGGGAGTGGGATTTCAAGCTCCCTGTTGGGGGCGGGGGGATGTCGGACACTCAGAGGTGGGTGTGCTGAGCGAGGGCCGGGCACCTGGCAAGAGGTGGAAGTCACTGCTGGGACCAAGCTGGGAGTCCCTTGTCTTTGGCTCCTAACCCTAATGTCCCTTCCAGGGAGACACAGGCTCCAGGGCAGGTCACTTCTGCATGTCCAGCTCTTTGGGAGGGTGGGGGGGACATGACGTTCCTGCTCATGTTCCCGGGCTTCTCTGTCAGCATCCGTAGGTGAAAAGCATCCGCAGTCCATCCAGCTGAATGACATTTTTATGCGTTGGGAGTTAAATTACCAACTGTAAAAACCAGCTTCTCACCTGGTGAGTGAAATTAGACTGTAGCTCAGTTGCTATTCAATTATGGCGAGTCGCTGTTTAATGGCTCGGTTCTGGAAGGTTCTATTAATGTCTATTAATCTGCCTTTTCTACCAGACAACAGACAGCCCTTTGCTGCTAACCCTTAGCAGGAGTGGGGGGGGGGGAGGGACAGAGCCTGGGGGCTACCTCTGAGCTCCCCAGAGGTCAGTGTTATTAGCTCCCAGAGGACGTGTGCCCGATGTTTTATCAAAGTATTTCCCTCTTTTTTAAAAATTTTTGGGTCACACCCGGTGATGCACAGGGGCTACTCCTGGCTTTGCACTCAGGAATTACTCCTGGCGGTGCTGGGGGACCCTATGGGATGCTGGGATTCGAACCCGGGTTGGCCGCATGCAAGGCAAACGCCCTACCCGCTGTGCTACTGCTCCAGCCCCAATATTTCCTTCTTCTGATCCTTGGAATAAAAGCAAGACCTGATGAGGGGAAGGGAAAGAGGCCAGCCTGGGGGGCACCCGGGAACCAGGTCCAGAAGGTTCTGCTGGCCTGTCCCTTTCCAGACGCCTGGCCCTCGGGTCGAAATCACACTTACTTGCTCAGAAGTGATATAAACTCACTGTCACTGTCACTGTCCTCCCGGTGTTCATCGATTTGCTCGAGCAGGCACCAGTAACGTCTCTCAACAAATTGTGAGACTTGTTACTGTGTTTAGCATGACGAATACGTCACGGGGAGCTTGCCAGGCTCTGCCATAGGGGCGAGATACTCTCGGTAGCTTGCCGGGCTCTCCGAGAGGGGCGGAGGAATCGAACCCGGCTCGGCCGTGTGCAAGGCAGACGCCCTACCCTCTGTGCTATCGCTCCAGCTCAAAACCAGAGAGAGAAACCAGAGTCCCCACCGCCTTCCTCTCTGTGGCACTTGGGGGGGGGGGGGCGAGGTGGCAGTCAGGGCAGGTGGTAGGAACCGGCCCGAGGCATTGTCAGCCACCGGCTGCCTGTTGATTCCTTTGCCCACTTCCTTTCATTCCTGGGGCAGATGCCGGTTCTTCTCGGGGGTGGACCCATCCCGGTTTTAGCTCCTGGGCCCCATCCAGTGAGTATGTTCCCTCCATCTGGACCACAGAACTCAACTCAGGGCCTGGGGGGGAGGAACACCGGCTGCAGGGGTGGGTCCCTGCAGGCCCTGGGAAAGAAACCCCAGGACCCAAGGCAGAGGCACCCCACCTTACCTGGCCACTGCTCTCTGCTCAGAGAGAAGTCACCCAGTGGCCCCCTGGAGATCGGCCCAGCTGGACCAAGGGGACTTTCAGCCGCCACCCCGGTGATTCCAGCACCCCCCACAGGGTGGCGGTATGACCCACCTGGGGAGACACGGACCCCACCTGGAGATGTGTGAGGGCAGAGAAGGCTGGAGGGATGGTGCCACAGGGAGTTATCCCCAGCACCCCATGGGGTCCCCTGAGCCCTGCCAGGAGTGATCTCTGAGCACGGGGCCAGGAGTCACGGGGCCTGAGCACTGAGACACGGGAAGAGAGTCCGCAGAGACGCTTCAGCACTGCGGAGACCCACCAGGTCTGAATCCCATGGAATCCCGAATGTTCCAGGCCGGCCAAGGGGCGCTCTTGCCAATCCTGTGCAACGCAGCTTGCGTGCAATTTTCTGTCCTTTGCATGGACATTCAGGTTGCGGGCGGCTGGCTTCCTCCCGGACAGAGTGGCCGGGGGTGTGTGGGGTGTGGCCAGGTAGGGTCTCCCTCCCCCGTCACCTGGGTCCTCCTCAGCGTCACAGCGAGGGGCCGGGGGTCCCCCGAAACCCTGCCCCCCTGCCGGGGGAGTTCCAAAGGCGGCTGGTCCTGCCCTGGACAGAAGGGCTCTCCTGAGAGCGTGTCCTTGGCGGTGAGCTGGACACAGGGGCTGGGCGCTTTGAAGCCACGAACCCCGGTCAATCCTGGCGCGTGCCAGGGGCCAGGTGGGGTGCTGGGGACCTGGGGGGTGGAGGGTCTCCCCGTGCAGGTGGCCGGCGGCGTGGGCAAGGCAGGCGTGGGCACGAGCCGACCCAGCCAGGCCGCAGCGGGCCGCGGCGCGGGGTGCGGGGGCGCAGTGACCGCGCGGGGTGCGGGGCGCGGGGCGCGGGGCGCGGGGCGCGGGGTGCGGGGCGCGCGCGCTGCAGAGCCGCGGCGGCCCGGGCCCGGCCAGGGCGTTCCGGAGCTATTTTTACCCGCTGCGTCAGCGGCGGCGGGCGACGGGCGCTCCCCGACCATTGTCTGGGCGCGGCGCGGGCGGGCGGGCGGGCGGGGACGCGCGGCCTTTCGAACGCGGCCGAGCGCGCGAAACCCGGCGGCGGGGCGATGCGGTGCCCGCCCCCTGCCCGGGACCCGGGGCGCGCGGGCCGGGCTGGGGGGCGGGGCCTGGGCCCAGGGGCGGGGCGAGCGCCGCTGGGGGCGGGGACATGGGCGGGGCGAGGGCCCTGAGGGGCGGGGCGGGGCCTCGGGGGGCGGGGCGGGCCCCCCGTGGGGCGGGGCTCCGCCTCCGCGGGCGTGTCCGGGGCGGGGAGAACGCCTCGAGGGGCGGGGCCCGGGCGGGACGCGGGCGCGGCGGGGCGGGGACGAGCTCCCCGGGGGCGGGGCCGGGGCGGGGCGCCCGGAGCCGGGGGCGGGGCCGGGGCGGGGCGGTCTCGGGGGCGGGGCCGGGGCGGCCTCCCGCCGGGCTGGGCTGGCGGCGGCGGCGCGGCGCGGGGACTGCGGGGACAGCCCGGCGGCCGCGCTGCAGCGACGCCCGCCCGCCCGCCCGCCCGGGGAAGCCGCGGGCCGCCGGCGCCGCCTCCGAGGCGCGGCCCGGCAGCGGGAGCCCCGCGGGGAGACAAAAGCGCGGCCCGGGCGCCGCGATGCGCGGCGGGCGCGGCGGCGGCGGCGGCGGCGGCGGCGAGTGAGCGCGGGCAGGGGGCGGCGCCGCCCGCCGCAGCCGCAGTGGCCGGCGCCGCAGCAGGAGCCATGGGCAACATCTCGTCCAACATCTCGGCCTTCCAGTCGCTGCACATCGTCATGCTGGGCCTGGACTCGGCCGGCAAGACCACGGTGCTGTACCGGCTCAAGTTCAACGAGTTCGTGAACACGGTGCCCACGATCGGCTTCAACACGGAGAAGATCAAGCTGAGCAACGGCACGGCCAAGGGCATCAGCTGCCACTTCTGGGACGTGGGCGGCCAGGAGAAGCTGCGGCCGCTCTGGAAGTCCTACAGCCGCTGCACGGACGGCATCATCTACGTGGTGGACTCGGTGGACGTGGACCGGCTGGAGGAGGCCAAGACCGAGCTGCACAAGGTGACCAAGTTCGCCGAGAACCAGGGCACGCCGCTGCTGGTCATCGCCAACAAGCAGGACCTGCCCAAGTCGCTGCCCGTGGCCGAGATCGAGAAGCAGCTGGCGCTGCACGAGCTCATCCCGGCCACCACCTACCACGTCCAGCCGGCCTGCGCCATCATCGGCGAGGGCCTCACCGAGGGCATGGACAAGCTCTACGAGATGATCCTCAAGCGCAGGAAGTCCCTGAAGCAGAGGAAGAAGCGGTAACGCGGGCGCAGGCCCACCCAGGCAGGACCCCCGCCCGCCCGCCCGCCCGCCCAGCGGGACCGGGGGCCGGGAGGGGACCTTTTGTCTGAGCCGCAGGGCTCCGATCCAGCGGGGCGCAGGGCTGTGGGGGCGGCGGCCCCCGCTGCCCAGTGGACCTGCCGGTCTCGCCCGTCCACCCCCGCCCCGCACCCTGTCCAGGTGGAAGGTGCGGATGGCCAGAGACAAAAGCGATCCCTCCTTCCTCCTGCAGCGGGGCCAGAAGTTCAGCCCGCCCCGCCCTCACCTGAGGTGTGTTACTGGTGGTATGCAGCACCCCCGGGGACCCAGGGGTGTCCAGCCCCCCCACCCCCCGGGGGACTGCTGGCCGAGGGAGGGCCCCCCTGGGGAACCAGCCCATTGCAAGCCCTATCATTTTCTGTCACAGGGCAGGCCCCTGTTGAAATCTCATTTGTCATGCTCTGGGCCCCCCGGACGAGATGCGGCAGGGACCTCAGGGTGCCCCCGGGGAGGCGGCCACGCGGCAGCCGGGAGGGACGCAGGAGGGCTCGGCTTGTGCTTCAAGGGATGGGGGGGGACCCTGGGGTCCGGGGGAGCCGGCCCGGAGAAGGAAGGCCCCTGTCCTCGGCCGCTCTGCAGTGGCTGACGGAAGACCCATTTTTCGGAGAACTGCTTTTCAGCCTGGAATCTGACATCTTCCAGATGATTTGGACCCTCTGCATGAGCAGGTCACGGTTACGTAGAAAGACCAATGGGGGGAAAAAAGTGTTTTGATTAAGAAAAGGGGAAAAAAAAAACAAAAGCAACTGTTGGAGGTGGTGGCGTGTGTGGCATTTACTGGGTGCAGGGTGAAGGTGCTTCAAGGGTGGCTCTGGACTGGGAACTGCAGGGAATAGTGTGGGCAGCAGGGCGGGGACCCCTGGACTGTGTCATCCCTGGCCCCCGGGGCTGGAGTCTCACGTTCGTTCGTTCTCTTCTCGGCTGACTGGTTTGTGCGACCGACCGTCAGCTGCCAGGGGCGCCTCAGCCGCTGGGTTTTGTTGGTTGGTTTGTTTTTCTAACAACAAAAGCAAAACTTCCACGCTGGAATATTCACCTTGGAGGGGGCGGGGAGAGAAAAAGATTTTGTCCTTTTCTGTCCTTTCACTCCTGCCCGAGAGAGAGAGGCACTATGGCGTTCTGAGTCCTCCTGGCCCGCCTGGTTTAAGCATTTCATTAATCATGTAGAGTATTGGCTGTCGTGCCCCCCCTCCAGGAAAAAAATAAAATAAAATAAAACCCCACCTTCTTGCAAAAAAAAAAAAAAAGCTGACCTCCTTGCATGGATTTCAAAGCGAAGGAAAAGCACACGGACGGACGGATGAGGTCCTCCAGGCCCATTCTTGTGGGAACTGGTCCCCCGCGGGGCAAATCCAAACAATGAGTGCAGGGAACCGGGCTGAGCGGGGCGGCAGGCGCGTGACGTCATGGTCACTGCACTCAGGCGTTTACGGTTTACTTGAAAGAGGCTTTGGGAGCTAGAGAGAGGGAAGGGAGAAGAGATGCTTATTTTTGGATAATGTCGCTGAAAAAAGACCCTTTATAAATCAGGACGGAGACTCATTTGCAGAAGCTGTTAATTGATTGACCCGCAGGATCAACACACACGGGCAGCTTGATCTCTTTTTGTTGTTGCTGTTGCTGTTGTTGTTGTTGTTGGATTTGATTTCCTCTTTGGATCCTTGTTTACACGGAGGACTGTGTGGTCTCACACCTCCCCCCTCCCCCACACCCCACCCCCAACCACCCTCCACCCCCCACCACGCTTGAAATTGGGGCCTGATCTGGGTTTGAGCACGTGAGCTGGTGGTCGGATGGCAGACCCGGCCCGGGCACCCGCCTGAGCACTGAGAAAGTTCATGTAGGAGCCAGGGGCCCACTGCCTGACTTCCCCGTGAAGCCCAGTCCGTAGATGACGTGTTAAAAAGCAAACCTGACAGCCTCTGTCAAGGTTCCTGCCATGGCAGCGGGGGTTCTTGGGGACCCTCCAGTACTGGATTTTTTTGTTTTTTTTCTCAGTAGCTCAGCAGAGACAAACGGAGCGAAGCACGCTGCGAGAGAGCAGTTCCCATGCGTGCCCACCGCGTGGCCACCGGTTTCTAAAAGGGGCTGGTCCCTCCTCGGGAAGATGCCGGAGCGGCATCCTTACAAAGAGAAAAAATCCATCTTCCTTTATTTTCCTCACGGGCAACCATTTCTTAAGCCAACCCCCCACCACACACCAGTGAGAGAATAGTCGATGTGTTCTGTGACATCCGCGATGCCAAATCCCGTCACCTCCTGTCCTCAGTCACTAGGTGCCCGGTGGCCCTCGCCACAAAGGAAGCGCGAGGACGCTGCTTTCTGCTGTCCAGAGTGAGTCGTTGTCGGTCGAACCCCGCGTGCTGTGCCCCGGAGCCCCGGGACCTCCCTCTGCCTCGGACCCAGATCCAGCCCAGCGGGCAGCAGCATAGATAAAGGCCCCTTGGAGAAGCCCCCAGGGGTGGGCACAGAGGCTGTCCCCAGCACCCCCCCACCCCCGTGAGCTTCTGCCAGGTGCCCGCTGCCTCGGGGAGGCCCGTTTTGTTCCAGACGCATCTCCCGGTGGATTCTGTCCTGGTGTTGGGGTTCTGTCCTGGTGTTGGGGTTCTGTCCTGGTGTTGTTTCTCCTGCTGTAATTCTCTGTCCTGACCCCTCCCCCGCGACTCCCTCCCTTTTATAATGCGTATATGATGCTGTGAACAGAAATAAATTATTTATACAATCACACGGTCTGGTTTGTGCTCTGCCTCGGCTGAGTGGAGGGCAGAACGGTGTGGGGGGGCACCCGGGGGTCGGGGTCCCCCCTCCCCCGCCGGGGTCTCTGTGCTGTGCTCAGCCTCCCGCCATGGGCGTGCTGGTCATTGTTCGTTTCTTCCCATGGATCAGTTGAGTGATGCTGCAGACGGCCCAAGCACCCAAACGGGGGTCACCACCGGCTTCCGCTGGGACTGCCCGGGACCCCGGGCCGAGTAAAGGTGTGTCCAGAGCAGGCAGGCATGGCGCGGAGCTCTTGGGTTGGGGGTCTCTGGGCTGATCAGGGAAGTCCTGCCTGGGAGCTGCCATGGTGGGGGTTAGCGCGAGTCCCCAGGGCCCCTTGCAGACACTGATCAAATGTTTCAGGCCCATGATTCTACGAACGTTCTTTGGTCTCTGAGCCTCAGTTTGCCCATCAGTAACATGGGCTCGGCTGTTACTGGGGAGGAGTGAACAGTACCGGCAGGGACGGGCCCAGCGAGGTCCCAGCACAGGGCAGGCGGCTCACGGTGAGATCTCGTTTGGGCCACTGCCACCTCGTGCCCGCACGCTGCCCACATGGCCTCCAGGCGCAGAATCTGCTTTTGTGGGAGCTTCAGCCTCTCCCCCAGCCCCGACAGGGTTCCGGGGCGTCTCTGGGGGGCTGCTATTGGGGCAAGTCCCCCACTCGTCTGGGAGCCCCTGGGCAGACAGTGGCTGCTCAGCCAGCCTGTGGCCAGAGATGGGGAGAAGGGCCAGGACGTGCACCTGCACCCTGCCAACCCTGCCTGATTCCCCGTAGGAGCAGAGCTGGCCGCTGCCCCCACCCCCAGACAGACATCAGACAGACGGACAGACACTGGACGGACAGACACTGGGCAGACAGACAGACACCGGGCAGGCAGAAGACAGACACTGGGCAGACAGACAGACAGACACTGGACAAACACCAACCAGACAGACAGACACCAGACAGACAGACAGACAGACACCGGGCAGGCAGGCAGGCAGACAGACACCAGACAGACAGACAGACAGACGGCAAATGGGGCTTTCCTGTTCACTGAGGTGGGCTCTGCCGTGGGGACCGCATGCCGCACGTGCTGGGGAGGGTTTGTCCCGTGTCAGTGGCACGGAGAGGCCTGAGCCCCCCTCAACCAGGAACCCGCCCTGGAGCCACAGGGAGGCTGGGCCGGGGGCCACGGCGGGTGGGGGGGGTGTGGGAGGGGGGAGGGCCCGCCTGCCCTGGAGCAGAATCAGCACCGCGCCACGGACCCACCCTCACTGGACCTCACCTAACCCAGGGACACCAGGTACCGGACACTACTGCTGGCTGCTGCTCTGACCTCTGAGAGGGGTGTCCCTCCTCTGAACCCTCCATCATTGTCCCTCCTCACCTCTAGGTGTACCCTCACATCTGCCCACTTCTTCCTGTACCCCACTCCTCCCCTCCCCCCTGCACCCCACTACCCTGTCCTGCACCCCACGTCCTCCTCCCCTCCCCCCCACGCCCTTCCTACCCACAGACGCCTCTGGTGCCCACAGTCGCTGTCACCTGCTCCTCCCAGCCGAGCATAAGCCCTCGAGTTCTGGCCCCAGCTCAGGCCTGGCCCGGGTCCCCGCCCTGGGTGGGACTCGGCTAGACTCTCCTGGGCAGCAGGTGGGCCCCCGGCTCTTCACACACTCTCCACAGCTTCTCAGCTCCAGCGCACGAGGGAGACTGCATTTAGGAGATGCAGTTGTTTGTCCCGAGAGTAGAAGGGTCTGAGCTAGAGCACTGAGGCAGAGCACTGTGACAGCACCAAGGCAGAGCACTGTGACAGAGCACTAAGAGCATTGTGGCAGAGCACTAAGACAGTGCACTGACTGAGCACTGAGGCAGAGCACTAAAGCAGAGCACTGTGACTGAGCACTGAGGCAGAGCACTAAAGCAGAGCACTGTGACTGAGCACTGAGGCAGAGCACTAAAGCAGAGCACTGTGACTGAGCACTGAGGCAGAGCACTAAAGCAGAGCACTGTGACTGAGCACTGAGGCAGAGCACTAAAGCAGAGCACTGTGACTGAGCACTGAGGCAGAGCACTAAAGCAGAGCACTGTGACTGAGCACCAAGGCAGAGCACTGTGACCAAGCACTAAGGCAAAGCACTGTGAAAGAGCACTGAGTCACTTGCCCAGGCAGGTGCCTACGAGGCGCTCCTGAACCCCAAGGCCAGGCCACCCGAGTGCCTCTTCCC